AAGTAGAAAGTTCAGGTATTTGTGTTCAACATGTAAGAAGTAGAAAGTACAGGTATTTGAGTTCAACATGTAAGAAGTAGAAAGTACAGGTATTTGTGTTCAACATGTGAGAAGTAGAAAGTACAGGTATTTGTGTTCAACATGTAAGAAGTAGAAAGTACAGGTATTTGTGTTCAAAATGTAAGAAGTCAAAGTAAAAAGTCCTCACAAAAATAAGTAGTGGAGTAAAGTACTGATACCAGAAACATGTATAGTAAAGTAACGAAGTATTTGTACTCCACTACTTCCCACCTCACTCCCTGCACAGCACTGTCTTCACTCTGTACTTCTTGTTATGCCTGTTACTCGCCTAAGTGAGGAGGAAATCTGCAAAACCATCCAACAACACAAAGGCAGAGGAAACAAGGAATACATTGTGCGAGAGCGACTGGCTTTCTGCCCGGATTGCTGCCAAGGCTGCTCCACTTTTTTCACTTGGAACCTCACAGACTGTTAAGAAAGGACGTATAGTTTATCTGAAACCAGGCTAAGCTCAATGTGCTTATCCTTCCCTTCCTGTGTTAGCCTATGCTTTCTAGTGAACCTAATGGCATTGTTTGAAATCAGCTGTGACCTTTTACCCACTTTCTTTTTTACCCTTCCCCCAAAAGCCAACCACAATAAGACGTTCTGAGAGTGATGACTAACTGGATACATACTTAGAGGAAAGTGAGAAATATAGACAAGAGGTTTCAGGTTTAACACGAACTTGAACTAGTTCATTATTAATTCTAACGTTGTGTCACTTTTTGCATTCCTCAGATACTCCAGAAATCCTCAACAAGTTGTCATCTGAAGGAACACTGTATGTTTACCCCTTTATAACCTGACAGCTTAAGGGACTCAAACTTCACATAAAAAGGTCATGTAAATAATACCACTGTACAAAGTCCATACAGGAGATAAGAGAGGTCAAGTGAGGTCAAAATGTAGAAATGGATACTCCAGAAGCTGACTGTAAATGTTCCCAATACATCTACTGTATGGTGAAAAAAGTACTAAATGTTTTAGAGAGACTAAATAATTAGTATTAACCGCTGAAACTCCTGAACTGCATGCGCTTTGATTACACAGAGATCATTTCAAACTAGATGGTTTACGGTTGAGGTATAACAGGAGAGTTAAAAATACTTGTAAAGAAATGTCTTCTCCACTTTTCAGGGTTTTTGATGTCCTTCTGATTACATGATATCTTAATCATTATAAATAACTAATATTTAAATAGCACTTTTGCTTTAAAGAATCCATAAAGCAATAAAATCATTACTATAATCAAACTGCTGTAAATTCTAAGGATGAAGGTGGTAATAACTGTGCAATCACACACTGTACCTAACTACTACTTTGTAAGTAAGATAACTCTTTAAGGACACCCTAGGCTTACATTCCTACAACATGTTAGATTTAAAACACTTAACTTTAGCAAGATGTCTGCCTAGCAACCACACTAATCCAGCGTTTTTGAAAAAATGAAAAAACACCTGTGTGTACAGAGATTACTTTGATTTAAAACATGAAGTGTGGATGTAGAAATACTCAGGCACTATCATGGAGGCCTCTGATTTCATAAGAAGCCTTGCAACTGTTCACAAGGTGCTTATCAGATACTCTCGCTCTCCCTATTGGTTTGGGTCTGGATCAACCAGTCAAACCAGAAATCACAGCCCTGCACAAACTGTTGGCTCATGTTCTTTAATTCAGTCTCACAAAGTCCTCACTGTTGATTTATTCTATACTGACTCAGGAACAGATATTACAAACAACAGGTTCGGGTGACAGGAAGTCCGGCACTTGTTTAAAGGAACATGAAAGCAATGAGAGGACAGGGTTGATCCACACACACATGTTATAATCATGAGACACAGGGTCCCTCGATTCAATACAGTCAGTCTAAAGCATCCTCTGTGCTCCAGTCTGTGCTCTCAGTGAACACAGAGCTGATCCCAGATCAGATGCACGCTGAAGGCTCTGTGAGCAGCTTTTCTCTCACTGATCGTGCTGCTATGTTAAATGTTTGTTTTGCATGTGTTGTCTCTTGATATGTGTCTGTTGATGTTACACATGGAGCTGCTGTGATGCAAGGAGCATTTCAGACTTGATCTGACCATTCAAGTGTTATCGTATCGTACTCGTTCTCACCTGTGCAGGTCCATCTCCAGGTAGGGGAAGATGAGTTTCTCCTTGATGAGCTCCCAGATGACTCGAGTCATCTCGTCTCCCTGCATCTCCACCACGGAGCCTGCCTTGATCTTCTGAGCCATGTTTCCGCCTGCGGGAGAACAACAAACAAATAAACATTAAAGAGTATGAAGGAGACCTCCACCTTCTGCCCTCTGGACGGGGGTTAGGGTCTCAGGTGTTCACACAGGTAATTGCTGCCATTAACCATGAACTTTAGTCACCCTTTTATTGTCCCGATGCACTTTGGTCCTCCTACTACTACTTTTTTACTACTACTACTACTATTTGTAGTTGTTGCCTCAATGCAGTTTGTTTCTTATTAAATGGGGTGAAAGTTGTTGTTTCAATAAACACAGTGCATTTATACCACGTTTTCTAACTTTTGTTTAAATGCGGAAACAAAATGGCACTTGAGGGACAATAAACCCTTGTTAGATTGAATAAAGCAAACCAGAAAACTTAAAGTAAGCTTGTATAAGAACAGATTTAAGAAGTTGTGGCAGTGATATTTAAAAACATACAACCATTGGTTAAGATCTGATTGTTATAATATTGTATATTTGACTCTTGGTCCGACAAAATGAAATGTTTGATTGAAAGAGACTTGCATTGTTTAAGTATTGTCTGGTATTATATAGTACATTCTTAAAGCAATTAAAACCCGTTGCTCAACTCTAGGCAAACAAAAAATAATAATGTAACTGTGTGATAGAGACAGAAAGCTCCTCTACTAAACACTACACTTACTCAATGAATGAATACATTCAAACGTAAACTAGGAGTAGCCAGGCAATGACTCAGCATTTTATCCCCCCCTTATTTACTCCATAATCCTCTTAAATCTGTCAAAGTGAGCCGAGCAACAAACCAGCAACATATGGTTAACAAAACCCAGCAGGTTAGGGTTAGGGTATACTTTATACCTTATCCTATCTTATTAATTAAAATGTATAATTTAAATGTTGTGATAGTGGTGTAAATTAAGTGTATATAGCTTCCTTTGAGTTGTGAATGCATGGTCACTTGATTTTAGAGTGTTAATGACAGTTACGGTAGTTTCCCAGCTTGCAGATTTCTATTGGGGATTGGGAAATGACAGGACGTTCCCAAAAGTTACATAAGCAAACAGGATGATGGCCGCCTGATGGGGAGGAGACAGCCTGCAGAGACAGCTATAGGCAGGCCAGACGAGCAGTGCAAACCATTAACACACAGAATAACGTACAATTTAGATAAAAATAGCGATAAGGGACGTGACAAAGCACGAAAACAGGAGGAGTTTGCGAAGATTATGGACTTTAAAGATCATATTAAGAGCGCATTTATCATACACTCGACTTAATTTCAATGCAGACCCCCATTCGGTGTGATATTTGGTTAAACTCTGTACATTTGAGCACGATAAATAGATTATTTTAGCTATTTATGCACGGTTTCTGCGCTCTTTGGCTACCCAGATAATGAGATAACAGGGCATTACACTTCCTTGTGTCGCTGCATCGCCACTACGTCGTTTTGCAGTATGAAAAATGTCATTACATGTCTCAAACGCCTACCTTGGTTTGTTTAAAGGTCCACGAAGAGATGAGGAGGCGGAATGATGTCCGGACTGAGCGGAAAACAGCTCAGGATCAGGCTAACAGAGCAGCGACAGGTACCCGGCTTCCTGGTCCCTCCCGAAACTCACCGACAAGATATTGACCAATCAGCGAAGAGGACGACAGACTAAGAGCCAATCAGATAAGCCCACAAAGCGAGAGGAGCTGGATCCGTGTGGGCGGGGTCTAAACTGTGGCTCGCTGATTGGTCAGAGGGAAACTGCGCTATCCTGCCACATAGACTGGAGACGTCTACATTAAAATAGTACTAAATAATCTATAATGATTGTTATTTAACCCCCTCCCAACACTCTTATAATACATTTTATTTGATGGTGCACTTAATATAAATATTTATTTATTTATGTATTACTTTGATAATTGTTTAATTGTCTAGTCATAGGCTATATCGGCCTATTATACAGTTTGCTAAAAGAAAAAAGAAAAAGGAATTTGACTCAGTTTTTTCATTCCACTAATTTACAGCTTACATAGAAATAGACGTACAACAACTAAAAAACAAGGACAAGAACTCTGGATAAAAGTCACATGGGTTTAACCCCAAGAAAAGGAAGACAAAAAAAGAAGTATTACTTCCCTTTCTATGGGGAACACAAAACACCATGTGTGTTTTAATCTATTTTGTATATCAGTGTACAGATTATACAGTATAGGCCTATCTGGGCTGGTGTCAATGATTCATGAGTATATCTAGTATACTTGGTGAATGAAGGGGAAACCACCTTAAAGACCTCTCTGATGCAAGATAAACCTGTAACAGGGCCCCTAAGGCAAAGACTGTGGATATAGACATACATCTAAAACCGGGCACGGCTGCCATGTTGCCCAAATGTAGTCAGCAGCATAATATTATTTAACAGGGAAGTGAGTTGTAGCGGTGGAAATATTACTACACATATTTTATACCAATTCTACTTCAACCATATTCAATGTAAAAACTGTTATATTTGAATATTTTTTTTAAATATTTTGTAATAGTATTATAGTGTTCTTAAAATAGTTTATATTTGTCTTTTTAATTTTTGTTCTATTTTATGTATGCACTACAACACCAAGGCAAATTCGTCGTATGTGTTAGCCTACCTAAACCTGTGTCTGATTCTGATTAAACTAAACTGCTAATCATGTGAATTCCATGTTGTTGATGCAAATAAGGATATAACAATACAACAAGGACAACATTTAGAATTATTGACGGTTTAGGCTGACTCTTTTTTGGCAGATACAAAAAACGTAAAACCTTCACACTATTTATATTTTAATTATATTTTTGTTTTGTATTTACTTGCACATCTCTAAAACATTCTTTTGTCACTATTCTATTTGTTTTATGACCTAGTATATTTCATGTTGCACTGTTGGAGGAGCCTGTGACTTCAGACTTTTCATTGACATATCTACACAGTAGATTTAATTTACTGAGGTAACGAATCAATTGAGAAATATGATAATGTTATCATATTCTTCTATACGATCTGACTTCCTAATGCAACCATTTTGTCACTTGTTGAATTAACCAGATAAGAATATTGTTTTAATTCATAGTATATGAGGTACTTTTATCCTGTAAATATGTTTTAATTAAAAATGTTTTCACAGAAGCTGAAGCCTTATTAAATTACAGCATGCCCAAGAACGTCAACAACCCGCCGACCCCCCCCCCC